TAGAAATGACGAGTTTTTCTCGAATAACTTTCGAAGTAGCCAAGCTAGGAACAGACTAATGGCACCTCTCGTCAATCCGCATCGAATGATATACGTCAAGGTCAAAGGATGGCCTCAGGTCACGTGACCTCAAGGTCACCATGCATATCATTCGATGCGCCTTGACGAGCTGAACACACATGAGACCATCCGCGTGGCTGTATCTGGCTGTAGTTCCTGTAAAGTTATTAGCAAAAAAAAAAACTTTGGTGACCCTTGATGAGGTCACATATGACGTTACAGTTGCCCAAGAGCAAAAAAGGGCTCAAGGTAGTCAAAGTTGATCGTGTTTTAACCTGCGCCCGGCTGGGGGTCCTGGATTTCAAAGTCCTGCTGGGGTGGGGGGGGGGGGGTGTTTGAACACCCCCGCCCCTTCTAACTCGGCTCATGGGCCACGTAGCGATACACGGAAAGCGGCGTTCGAAAAAGCACTGAAAACAAGTTGAAAGAACGTAATGCAAAAGCATCTTAAAATATTCCACACTTAGGTTTTTTGGGTATAAGGGTAAACTGGCTTAGAGGCGAAGCAGAATGTCTGGTTCATGAAGAACACACGCAGTGTTTCACATAGACCGAAGACACGTGCTGCTTCTTCGCGTGCAGTCTTAGCGGCCCCAGGGGACTTCAACTCGACCAACACCGGTTCTTCTTCGTTCTCCGTAGTCACGTGATATTACGTCACACAAAGCGCGCGAAAGATAAACCCTTTGAAGGTTTTGCACGAACTAGCATCGGGTTTAAGAAGAAGGGGTTGTGGTTTGATCAGTGTAATGGCTTTCATCAAGACCACGCCCGCGGTACCACGTTCTAGCGTCCACCGGAAGCGATCGCCATTTTTCGATCGCGTTGGATCACGCTTTGTGCAGTGACGAGCGGCTGGTGCAAGATTGGGTGAATGGCAAGTAATCGAATATTGAAGAACTGAAATAAGGTTAATTTTTGGCTTATCAAGTGTTGTGTATTATCTATATTACTTGTGATTGACAATGATAAGCAATATCACAACGCTCTTCAAATGCATGGATGAATGCGTTGGATGAAGAAAATTCATATGCAAGACCAATCAATGCAGTAAGTATTTATATGTTGTATAAATGCCCCATAGCTTAAATTATGCAAGTGGTATTAAGACAAATCTTCCAAATGAAGATAAATCAAGACTAGAATCAGCTTGCCATTTTGGGGTCAACTGATTTAGGTATAAATTTGGCTGATTTTAATAAACACATGTTCTTGCTGATTAGTGCAATATTTTACCTAGCTGCACTTTATATGTTAAGTGCATTATTTTATTATTTTTTGTTATTTTATTATTATTTTATTTTTTATACATTATTTTTTTGGAGTAAGCTCATGGTCTCTGAAGTCAATCTAAGTTTCTTTACTCCCTGCCTGTTGAATAACTCATCCGTCCGACTCTTCATTCTAGGGGACGAGGCCATCTCCGCACTGATTGAGGCCCTGGAGTCTGAGGAGAGCGTCCTGGCGCGCGGAGACGTCGACATCGTCGAAAACGCTGGCTTGAAGCTGGTGGTGGAAGGAGAAACTGTATGTGATTTGGGAGAATGCGATATCGCCACCCGGCTGCTGACATGGGCGATAGCGCATACTGTGTTTGGGAAAACATCCACTTGCTAAAGCTAAAAATGTGTTCATATTTGTACAGAAAGCAACCCTGAGCGTGAAGCAATCAACCTGACTAATTAAACATGCCCGAAAGGCTCTGGAGTTCTTTGGCTTGGATGTGTAAGGCAAGTGACACGGCCGAGGGGAAAGTGTTCCTGCAGGCTGATTGCGGGCTGATCGCAGGCTGAATGCGGGCTGGTTGCGGGCTGATCGCATGGGCTGGTTGCGGGCTGGTTGTTCCTGACTGGAGACTTGCAGGCTGATTGCTCAGAGTAAAGAGGAAGGTAATACATTTTAAGGTGTATCAAATACTGTGTTTGCGCAGCAGATGTGACGGCGCAGGTCGATAGCCATGCATGGGAGGTTCAATAGGCGAATGAACGGGGATTTTGCGGTATTGCAATAGAACTGAAAGGGTTCTACAACCGATATTCAGAACACAGGGTGGTTTCCCTATAAACCTCAGGGACCTCTTCACAGACCCTTTGGGGTTCTTATCTAGGTGCTAAGAACGCTCTTATTATAAACCCTAAACCTCATAAGAGTCTTTGGAAGAATCGTGTGGATTCTTTTGATGAGAATGCAAAGCCGTCTACGTGAAGAACCATGGGGTTTCTGAAAAACGGTGGCATAACATTTTACCCCACAGGGTTCTAAATACCGCTGTACGTTCTTAACGTTCTTCCAAAGTGTTTTCAGTGAGCGCCAAAAAGAATGACGAAATACCCCTATCCGCAACAATTTTTAACCACCCTCCCAGGAGTACAGTTAAGGTCCCATTGCAGTGTAGTCGTCCCTGCTCTCAGCGGACTTGTTCGCTGACAGCGGTTATATCCGCTCAGAGCAAGTACGACTACACCGCAATGGGACCTAGCACTACTCCTGGGAGGGTGGTTAAAAATGGTTGCAGATAGGGGTACCCGTAAAACACCGGTTTACTCGCCAGCCTTGGGTTAAATTGTTTTCAGTGAACCAATAGAGCTACAGCGCCACGGAAAACCGCATTCGATAGCCCTATCAACTGCTGAGCAATACAGGTTCAATTACAATTACAGCAATGAGCAATTACAGGTTCTTAGCAATCTCTCAGATTTGACCTAACGTCAACGATTTTGCCTGCAGGGGATAAAAACTGCAAAATTAGCCGATTTTTCGGAAACAGTTTTTCTACAATAACTTTTATCCAAAGCCTTGTTCGAGCCTACTTTTACCGGCATCGTGGCCCTCTCGTCAAGACGCATCGCATGAACTATAACGTGACCTTGAAAGGTCAACTTGAAAATTGGACCTCAGGTCAAGGTCATGACCTGACCGGAAAGGGTCATGTTGCATATCAGTCGATCCGTGTCGTCGAGCTGAACACATCTAAGGCGTTTTCATCGCTCTAGCATGCCTCTATCAAAAGTTATTTGCAAAAAACTGTTAGATACGCCGCCTTCCGTGTATCGCTACGTTGCCCATGGGCCGAGTTAGAAGGGGCGGGGGTGTTCAAACACCCCCCCCCCCCCCCAGCAGGGCGTGGAAATCCAGGACCCCCAGCCGGGCGCAGGTTAAAACACGATCAACTTTGACTACCTTGAGTCCTTTTTTGCTCTTGGCAACTGTAAGGTCATGTGACGTCATTAAAGGTCACCAAAGTTTTTTTTTTGCTAATAACTCCTAACCGGTTCAAGATACAGCCACGCGGATGGGCTCATTGTGTTCAGCTCGTCAAGGCGCATCGAATGATATATACATATGATGACCTTGATATATATGATATATATGATGTCACGTTACCTAAGTCCAACTTTGACCTTGACCCTTGACCTTTCGAGATCAACATACGTATGTTTCGACGCGGATTGACGAGAGGATCACGATGGTGCTATTAGTTTGTTCCTAACTGAGATGCGTCGAAAGTTATTCGAGAAAAACTTCATATATATATATATATATATATATATATATATATATATATATATATATATATATATATATATATATATATATATATATATATATATATATATATATATATATATATATATATATATATATATATATATATATATATATATATATATATATATATATATATGAAGTGCCGCTATTTTCGCTTTTGTTTACCCCTGTGACGTCATCTTTGACCTGACCTGAAAATGACCTCAGAAAAATTGTAGACCTTATCTTTGTGTACCCTGTGCCGTTTACCGCTTGTCGCTAGCTTGCTTTGTTCTCGAGATTTCGCAATCGCTCCCGCTCGTAATAATGGGCAGGTCATAGAAATGACCTGACCTGAGGTCAACGCAGGCCGAAAGCCACTTTTTAATTATCGCATATGAATGACAATTGATAAGGCTTTAATCATCATCAGACAAAATTGCAACTTTTAGTGCGGAAAATATCAAGATCACTCTTCGAAAAATAGGTCAGGAGGTCACGTGATGAAAATTTTCAAAAATTAAAAATCCGAGATTGCCAAAATGTTTGTTGGTTGATTGCAAGTTGAACCATATAAAGTTTTGTCATAGGAAACCAATAGTTTCTGAGTTGTAAGCCGCCAAAAATAGGGTTGCAGCGTGACCTCCAGGAATTGCCCGAGGCTAAAGGTATCTCGGAAACCGTTGTTCGAAAAAAATCCTTGCCACAGTTGGCTTCCCCGCCCATCACAACCCCTTTGACCAGTTTTAACTTTTAAACGAAAAATAAAATATATGGGTGTCATTTTTTTTTTGTCGATCTTTCCTGGAATGCCCCAGATGTCAAATATAGCAAACAGTGCCAGGTGGTCAAGGTTGATTCATCTGTGATCATGACTGTCAGGACTCAGGACTGTCATCTATGGTAAAAGCAGGTGATTTCCTCACACTGACTTAAAATGAAAATTGGAAAGGTTAAACTATTGACCCTTAGATCATTGAAAGAAAATCCGAGATGCGTAACAAATAGGCATTCCCACTGCCGGTATTTTCAAGCAGTTTTGCGGATTAGGGAAAGTGGCCTGAACGGAAGTCAGCATGGCGACCCATTCAATAAAGAGCACCCACCTGCTGACAGCTGCTGCTCCCACGCCTGCCAACTCCGCCTCCGAATTCCGCTCTCCACATTACGTTTTCCGGTTCCACAGTCGGGTCCCCTCTCCCTGTCTCCGGTTTCAGTTCGCTTCACTATCGCCGTTGCCGGAGTCTGTTTGGGGGCACGCATACGTGAACTGCGCCGGATGCCCGCGCGGCTCGCCGCCGACTTCAAAGTTCCCGCTACCGGCTGGGCGCAGTGCGCATGCGCGACCAGCCGAGGCGGAGCGTTTACCGCCGCCGCGAGGGGAGGTTACCGCACGCGCTCAGACGGCCGGCCGCTGCCAGCGGAGAGGGTGGGTACGTCAGTGTCGTGCGTGTGTGGGTTACGTGGTGATTTTGGCAGAGACGTGAGCGTGTGCTAGAGCGTATTCGGAGGAGTGTGTAGTGTGGGCTTGAGAACTTATCACTCGGATTCACCTGTGGACTAGTGATCGTACGGTGCCGGAACCGGAAGTTTTACAAGGAATCGCCTACGATTCAAACGGAAGCACTTTTGTAGGTAAGTCACGACGTCGGTTTATAGGCTTTTCAATTGAAACTGCCACTTTGAAACAACGTTCAATGATATGCATATCATATCGTTCAGCATACACGATAGTGCAATCTACTGGTTTGGGCTCCCAAATCTGTTTCATGATCATATCTCAATCTGTTATTCATTCATTACTTGGTGCCGGCTGAGCCCTCCGAACACTCACTTCTAGTCGGTACTGCGGTACTATAACACTGCGGCTCGTTATAGTCCCGGGCCGGCAGCTCACCGGTGCCACTCAGGGCCTTATCGCACCTTCCCCAGCGGCCAAAGGCTGTCGTGGAGAACGGGCGGTGTTTGGACTCCGATAGCGGGTGTCTGCGACATAGTCCGACGCTGTCACGTGACAGGCTGCTGCTGGGCTCACCTGTCAGCCTGTCACCTGTCTCTTAAACAATTGTGATGTGTCATTCATTAGACAGTGTCAAATTCCTTAGACAGTGTCTGTCTAATAGACACGCGCCTAGTCTATCACTTATTAAACTGCAGTTAGATAGTAAATCGGTCCTATGATACCGCATGCGGTATGCACTATGCAGTGTTCGTCACAGTCAAATGCCTGGTCCGCCCTCTGGTCTCGTATCGCCTCGTTTTGTGTACCTTAGTGGCGTCAGGCGTGGTGCCACTGGCCGGTCCCCGGGGGCTCCTCAGTGTCACGGACCACTGTCAGCTCTGTTCTGTTTGATGTCCCCCTGTTAGCTGCCAGGCGTCTTTTGGATGCTAAGTGGATGTCTTTCGGTCGAATGGAGGCGTGTTACTGGGCTGCGCTTCTTCAGGACGACACATTTGCGGCTGTATTCGGTTTACAGTGGATGTTCCTCTGAGAGACGCGAAGCATATATTCTTGATGCTTTTCCTATCTGTAAGTATGGAGCTAGGTATGAAGAATCCACCTGTTGCACTTGCACCAGCGAACATGCGTATCTCTCACCCTAGTGTTTTTTTCTACATGTCCAATCACGTTCCTTCACTCGTCTGCCTTTAGCCCGCCTCTGACCCGTTAGTCGCAGAAGGCATACTGGCAGGCCCGCTCAGTGCAGCCGTTCAAGTGCAGACCGCCCCGAAATGCCGCAGACTGCCGGGCGGCCGGCAGCGTCTGGTCGAACGCTGCTCTGTGTTTACGGGCACTGACCAACGGGCTCTGACCACCGGTCAGTCATTAGCGGCTGATGTTTGGTCAGGAAACGCTGCGGCGCCTCGTCACTCGTCGGTATTTGGTGACGGGGAAGGGGTAGTGGTATTCGGTAATGGCAGTGAGCACTGATGTTCCCTGATGTGCTGGTGTGAGCGATGTGCAAGAATTGCACCAACTGCAGAACTTCTAGCCAGAGTTTCACGCCAATTAGTGGTTCCGCCAACGGTGAGCTAACGGAAACACGCTCGACTAGCGGCCAGTGCTCGCTGATTCTCAGCCGAGGTGTGAATGTTCCAGCAACATCGTAGACTATCCGAGTCTTGATCTATAGGGGCTGCGAATTGACCACCGCCCGTGCTGAGCATAAGGCCTGAGTTGGCCTGAAAGTGTGGAATCTGTGTGATGTGATCTCTTAGTTCTTAACGAAAGTATCAGTCACAACCCACTGACGCAGAGCTCTGTGCGCCGCCACTGCCTGGTGTAACCGCGGGTGGTTCCCACGCGCAGCAGTCGGGTTCCGGTGGAATTTCTGACGGATCGTTAGGCGCACCCGGCCCCGGTTCTGATCAGATCGGCCGGCTGCTTCACCGCACAGCCACCGATGAAATCTGAGCAGAGGCCGGTACGGTCACACGCCCCCGCCCCCGCCCCCGCCCCCGCCCCCGCCCCTACCCGCGTCCATGGGTGCTGCCCTGTCACCGGGCCGGACTGGTCAAAACAAGTCGGCAAGGACGACATGGCCCAGTCGACGGTGTCACATTTCTTAGTGGTGCTCACATTTCCATCAACTGCGCGACAGGTTTCCACGAAAATGCCTTTGCTGATAGGGGATACTATTACTGATACGATGCCGGCGCGTCGTTGCACAGAAACCCTTTCATTATGTAGAATGTGGTGTTCGTCGTTTCCATATTTCTTTCCTCAGCTCGCGCCGTCACCGTCAGGTTGACAGGCGTTCTGTCCTTTGTCGAATGGTGTTAGGGCGTTCGGTGGATGCATTCCGCACTCGCAGTGTTGCCGCAGCCGACCGTGTCTGCAACGAACGGTGCCTCAGCGGAGGTGAGCTGAGGTGAAGTGAGCGTGCTGAGGTGAGTCAGGTGAGGTGAGGTGAGCGGCTGGGAAGACGCCGACGTGCCGCGTTCCCACGCCGTGCCGCGCTGCAGCCGCCACATCCGGTGCCAGAGGGCCCCCGCCGCCTCCACCGCCGCCTCCGCTGCCGTCGTCACGCGCCGCTGCAGACGCCGGCAGTTGCACGTGCCCCGTGCGCCACTCTACCTTTGTTGTCGTTCCGCCAGATTCCGCTGCACGTCGTTTTGCGGTATTTTCCGCCGAAATCCGTAAAAACATCAGACGGTTAGGATTATCACCTTCTTGGCTCTCTGCACTCAATGTGCAACGTGTGTGGTCACAGCTTTGACATGGCTCGGTTTCGTCATACGATTTTCGATATTCTCTTGTCGGCTCTAATTTCACCATGGAATTTCACAAACTTCTCCGGGCGCCACTGAGATGACTGTATTCAATCTAAATTGGCCCGTTTGGACGTTTTGAAACATCGACACGTCAAGTTCGAGCCTGTCTGCTCAGGGTCATGAGCGGCTCTCGCCTCCCCTCCCCACCCCTCCTCATCACCAGCGAGGGGGCCGGAAATGCCTCTGGAATGGAAGTGCCTCAACTTCTAGACGTCCAATCGGCTCAGGCAAAACACCACGCGAATTCAAATTTTTTCGCCAACATATATATCATTTCCATGCGTAGCGATAGCGAGCAAAGATTCCCTAGCGGGCCTTCGGCCCGCGAGGGCACTTTCCATTTTTTTTTGCCCAAGGGGGCCCCCTGGGCACGTCGCCGCCAGCCATACCGCATTTGCGGTATTTGCGGTATGGGCGGTACGCCCCTGACTGAGGGTCGCAGTGACACTTTGGAATGCAACACGGGGTGTCACTCCAGGATAATGACACCCCAGAGGGGTTTCAACGGGGGTGTCTCAGCGACACTCCAATTTTTTGGCCTGCAATTTTTGGGGAGTTCGCTAGCCGAACCTCTCCAAAGGGGGTCATGTATATTTTTGGGGCGTCAAAAGGTAATGGGGCTCCCGTGTCGGGTGTCACAACACCCATGACATCCTAAAATCATGAAAACGGAGCCTAATTTAGGAGTATTTTGGAGTATGGGGTGTCAGATTGTAAGAAATGGGGTTCCCCGATTTTTTTCAGTGTGGCACCGCCCGGCTCGCTGGACAGGCGGCAGAACAGGGAGCGCGACGCGGGGTGCTTACGGACGGCGGGCGTGACAACAGGCCTGATGGTGGCAGCTATCTTCGCCGCCCTGTCCCCAGTCCATGTCGTGTCTCTCTCCCCCGTCCCCGTCCCCTTCCCCATTTCGACGGCCGACTGGCTTCTCTCGCCGGTGTTTGGTGAGCGGTGAGACAGCCCGCTGATGAATGCCTCCGCGTCCGGGCTAGTCTCCTCGCCTCGGTGCCGAGATGTTTTGACGGCGGAGACATGTCAACTGTCTGCGTGTCTCCCTTCTGAGGGTCAGGTGAAGGTCTTCGCCTCAAAGTCACCTGTCTGTGTCAGGTCACATCCCGCGGGGGTCAGGTGAAGGTATCTGTGGACTGATTGAGGTCACCTGTCGCTTTGGGTCTCAGGTGAAGGAGAGGGGGGGGGGGGCACTGCTACCTGTGAACGCCAACCGGTGGTATGTATGAAAGGGGAGGGGAGGGGGCAGTGGTATACTTGTGAACGCCATCCCATGCCACACACTTCCGGTGATTGCAGGAAGTCCGCTCTAGTACAGGATGCACCTGCGTCGGCGGCAGCAGCTGGTCGGCACTGGACTCTCCTCTGTCCCCTGTCCTCCCCTGCTCTCCCCTCTTCGCCCTCTCTCTCGGTCCTTTCCCCCGCTCCCCGTCCTCAGGTCCGCGGTTCCGTCCACATACGGAACGGTTTCCGGAGGGGAACGGACGCCGGAGAAGCCATGTGTTAGCGTGACGCTCCGAAGATCGTTCTTCCCTTCTGGATCCCTTCTGGATCCTCAGGAGGGATGGTCGAGCACACGCGGAGAAGGTTGAAGTGGTCATCAGCATCATATGACTGATCAAGGACCGATAGTTTTCATGTGACCTTCGAATTGCATCGGTCTGTATTCGGCAAGTCTGGCGGTGGTTGGACAGGATGTTCTGCGAGGTTGTCGGGCAGGCTGTGGGCTCAAGGAGTCGCCATAAGTCGTTTTGAGTTTGTGTGAGTCGATGTGCATCAGTGTGAAGCGGCATAATTCTGTGGGTCGATATGAGTCAGTGTGTGTCTTTGTCACTTGGTGTAAAACGATTTGAGTCGGTGTGAGTCGTTGAGAGTCGATGAATAAGTCGGCGTGCTCTAGTTTGAGTGGGTGTGACTCGGTGTGAGTCGCCCTGAGTCGGTGTGAGTCAGTGCGAGTTTGATCGTCACGACGGATACGTTTCGCGGTGCCGGCTGTCACGGTGTGCGCACCGAACATGCACCGGTTTCCTGCCGGTTCCATAGTGGGGTTCCTGTCGTTTTCTAGTGGGTTCTGCTGGTTTCTAGGGGCTCCCATGCTGGCTCACCAGTCGGTGTGGTTGAGAATTACGGTTTGGTTGGCAAGCCAGCACTCAGTATTGCTGACCGAAGATAGTCCATTGCATTGTTTGCCTACTGTCAATGTCTATCGAACATAGAAAGCTGATTTAGATTACAAAACATCGACGGGATTAATCGTGAATGATAGAATGTTAGGTCCTCAAACTTCACAGACAGTGAGCTTGGTGGTGATAGGAGCTGAGAGGACGTTGTTCGTAGCATAGTTTTGGTCT